CGATCTCGTCATGTCGAGTACACGCGAATGTCCTCTGTGTCGGACGAGGATCGTCACAGAGGCTCGCTTGTTGAGAATATTCAGATCATAAGGTATAGATATCAGAGTCGTGTTTGTTGTCCTCATTTGTACTTGTACTATTACATTGCATCTTTGTTCCTCCAAGTTACTTATCGTGCGGCTTCAGATTCACTTTCACAAGTTTCTGATCACATGAGAACGCTAGGTGAGTACTCTCCATGTGGTCGCCGCCGGCTATGAGGTTTAACTGACGACTGGCTTCGTGACGTCCTGGTCATGTGTAGAAACTTCTGTCTATTGAGCGACTAATCCCGCTCAGACGAGCCGTTTCGGAACCGCTTGTTCTCGTGCTGTAGCTTCTGGCGTACACTTGCCCGGTCTAAGGACACTCTCCTGGCATTGACCTGTAATTATTGGTACTGTCTCTCGGATTGGCAACGCGGAAGACTTTTCAGTTGTATTCTCGTTTTTGCCGTGCTCTGTTTGACGGGTAGAGCTCGCGTTATTTCCGAGCTTCCCAGTGATGACTGACCACCCGGTCTCTTCTGCTTCTTTTGGGTCCTTGTGGGCCACCCGACTGATTTCAGTATCACGAGTCTATCAAGAAGGCTGTCTCGGCGATAGTAGGGGTATCCGCAAGAACAGCGACCGTCACTTTATCGAGCACCTCGCGGGGAAATTCATGTCTTCGATGCAAATCGTTGCCAGCGTCGGGTCAGAGGTACGCCTCCTCTCTCCGGGCTTCATCCGCCACAAAGAGACCGACTGAGTTCCGCTATATAGCTTTTATAATGCCATATGGGCGTCCATCAACCGAGTGGTCTGCTCCTTCATCCAGTCCCAAGAGTTTGTGCAGTGTCTTGGTGGCCGTAACCCCATGAGCTATCGTACGCGAAGATCGGGTTGGGAAATCATACATCATCTGACATTTTGTGAGTCCTTCTATAACGTACTGGGACGTCCAAAGACTTACGAGGTGTCACGCCGTTGAAAGCGACCACATGCGCCACCCTGGGGACAAGACGTATGCACGATCCAAATAAAACACTAGGGATGAAGAAGGGTTCCAACGCTGATTCAGATATCTCCGACCATCCAGCTAGGCACATTAGCCGTCTTCCGTAGAATTGGACACTTCAGAAGGTCGCGGCGAAGAAGCATGCTTCGGCGAGCTCGCGAGCATTTATAGCTGACCTGCGTCGGACGAGGGCTGCAGGGTTCCAGATAGCCCATTTCCCCAGCTTTTGCCCTCTCGTGCGTAATGCAGTTCCGCCAGCTGGTTCTCCTCGCGTGCGTCGGTGCCGGTAGTGTTTTCGCGGGTCCCATACAGAACCGCCATTTGGTGCTTCCAAAAGACGCTGCTACTCACAAGCAAGCTGTGGAGAAAATTTTCTTAGATAGCTATGCAGCGTACAAGTACGTTCATACGTATATCAACATACCACTCGAAGCTGACTCTTATTCATTCTCACCAGGCAATTCGCATTCGGTCACGACGACCTCGAGCCTGTCTCCGAGACGTTCACCGACGGTCGTAACGGCTGGGGAGCATCGATCGTCGATGCGATGACTACCATGGTGCGTGTTGCAACTCTGGGTGTACATATCGTCTTCGCTGACAAGACATTCTCCAGTCAATAATGGGTCAAAACGTAAACGCTCTCCGTTTCTCACCTGTGTTCTTGACCGTACTCACCTCCGTGAACAGGACCTTTTCGAAGAAGCAGTCAATTTCGCCTCAAAGATTGATTTCAGTATCTCTCATACAACCGACACCACAAGGTGACATACCTCGAGCTCCCTCCAGCATCTAGTCACGCTGACGTATACGATGCTTACAGTGTCTTCGAGACCAGCATCAGGTATCTCGGGGGCCTACTGAGCGCGTTCGAGCTCAGCGGCCAGAAACATCCCATCCTCGTCCAGAAGGCCACGCAGGTGGCAGACAAGATGTCCCAGGCGTGGTCGCTGGGTAACGTGATCCCGTATGGTTTTGTGGACTTCAACACAAGTCAGCCTACAATTGATACCGTGAGTCTGCGATTTTTCAAGTAGTCTGGTGCATATAGTGATTAGGGACATAGTCGAACATAGCAGAAGCTGGAACGGTACGTATGACTATATGCGCCCTTGTGGGCCGGATTCTCAGTGCGTTTCGATTCCCTAGCTCACACTCGAGTGGTCCACTCTTTCGTACGTGAACGATACCGCCTCCGCCCAACTGTTTTACTGATTTAGAGACGTAGAAAGCATACCGGAAACGATACCTACCGCAAGCTCGCCGAGAACTCTGTAAGGCACATCGCTGGCCTGGTATGTCAGTCCACCTTTCCTCATGTGTCCCGTCAAACTGAAAGTGGTTTCAAGACTCCTCCTTTGCCGGGCCTGGCCGCTCAAGGTATTGACCCTACTTCTGGGAATTTCGTCGGTGCATATGTGGTATGTTGCATTCTGTATTTGCAAACATTTTGTTCTAACGACGGGCTGTGTTAGTCTTGGGGCGGAGGCTCCGATAGCTACTTCGAATACCTCATCAAGTATCCCCGTTTGTCAAACATCAACGACAACATCTTTGCGGACACTTGGGCCACCGCCGTGGATACGTCTATGCGCGTCCTCGCTCGGGTAAGCAACGCCTCTATACGTCTCAGTGACACTGAAGTGCTGAGAAAGGTCCACTTCCCAGACATCTACAGTAGGAAACCACCTGTACCTGGCCGACCAACAAGACGACGGGACCATTCGACACATCGGCTCCCATTTGGCCTGCTTCCACGCTGGCAATTGGCTGATGGGTGGGAAGATGATGAACAACCAGACCATCGTTGACTTTGCTCTCAAGCTCGCCGACGCCTGCTGGAACACATACGAGAGTACTTTGTACGTTCCTATCCTCAGTTCTATCACCTCCATGCGGTACTGACTCCAACGCCGTCTGTCTAGAACCGGAATCGGGATGGAAGCCTTTGGCTTCTTCTCCTCCGACGGCAACTTCACAGGCGCGACGCCCACGTCCGACGACCTCGCCTTCTACGCCCAACACGGCTTCTTCCTCTACCCCGGCTCCGAGTACTACCTCATGCGGCCCGAAGTCCTCGAGTCCAACTTCTACGCGTGGCGCGTGACGGGCGACACCAAGTACCTCGACCGCGCTGCGTCGGCCGTCAACAGCTTCAACAAGTGGTTGAAGGCCCCTGCTGGGTTCGCGGGAATCTGGAACGTGAACGAGGCGAATTCGGGGTTCATTGATGATATGGAGAGTTTCTGGTTCGCGGAGGTGTTGAAGTACTTGTGAGTGTTGGGGGTGGGCTGGTGCTGCTGGTGCGAGGCTGATGAGCTTGCGTTCAGGTACCTCACCTTTGACGATCCCAACCATATCAGTCTGGACGAATGTGAGTTTTGCGCGATCCGTAGTCGACGTTATCTTGTACTCACCGATCACAAATTGTAGGGGTGTTCAACACCGAGGCTCACCCGTTCAAAGCACCACCAGCCAAAGCGACCTACGGCAGCGGCATCATTGGTGGAGGATCTTCATTCGCGCCTTTCAAGTCGGAGAGTGGAGAGTTGCCTGAGATCAGCTTTGCGCCTGTTCTTCGCAAGCAGATTAAGGACCAGCTGGGTTTGTGAGGATGTTGTCTACGATGTCAAATTAGAGGACGTCAGTGTACTTATATACACGTCCTGCCAATGAGGGTTCTAATGTGCTGCCATTCATCGGCCACAAATCAGAGCACAAGTCACAAGCAATCCATTCGTCTAGTCTAGTACACGCTTACTTCCTACCGGCCCTCCACTTGCCCATAGTAGAGAGCGCCTGGTTGCCAGCGATCAACGTGGGGATGCTAAGAATAGCACCGTACAGCAACACCTGGCCGAGCTTCAAATCGACCCAATACCAAAAGAGCAGACCCTCAAATGCACCTAGCGTTGCAATGAAGGGCAGGATGCTCGGAGACAGGAGGTGAGGAACACTCGGGCTGATGAACCCCCACTGCACATAAAAGAAGTCAGCTGCGAGCAAAGAGACGATATGCGGTGTACTCACCAGGCCCAGAAGTACGACCCAAGGCGCGAGTACCAGAGCAGCGAATACGGCGGAAATGAACTTCGGTGGGAGCTTGGGGTCGGGCTGGAAGGTATGGTGGATCTCCGAGCGGACATGGAAGGACGGTTCGTCGGGGTGTTGAGGAGCAGGTTGGGAAGCGGGGAGGAAAAGGTCGAAGAGGTCCATTTTGAGAGGAGAGTGGACGAAAGACCCAATAATAAGTTCGACCTTGAGCGGGTCAGAAGCAGTGGTTGGAGGTAGCGATGCCGGTGGTTTCGCCATGTTCTGAAGGAGCATTGTCGTCAATGGGGGTAAACAATGACATTAAGGACAGGACTCACAAGTTCGAACTTCGCTTTTCCACCTGCAGTCACGCGAACTGGCTGGATACCCTCCTCGCCCGAGACCTCATCATAGAACCGCAAGAACGTTTGGTGTGGCTGCACCCCCTTGCCTTCCTCTTCTACGACTTGGAATGTGACTTTCAAAACATCCTTCGCTCCGAGCGTAAGCGCGGATGGCTTTTTGGTCGTCGATAACCTGAGCAGTAATATCATGCGTTAGCATAAACAAGAGGGACATTGGTGGACACGTACGGCTCAGAACGCAACTGAGTCGCGTCCGACGCGGAAATGGTAAAACGAGGGGATTGCAAGGTCAAGGCAGATGCATATACGTTGCCAATTGCCAGCAAGGGCAACAAGCACGCTAGAAAAGAACGCATCGTGCTCAGAGGATGGTGGAGGGCGGAGGAAAGGTCATTGATTGGCGCTTACGCGCGTGGACTCACTACGTGTCGGCGCTTGCAATCATACCGCGCCAAACGTATCTCAAAACTTCAAAAACAACAGCACAGGACTAGCTCAAATCACAGAGTCACTTCACAGCATATCAAGGAGTGATTCTGAGGCCCTAAAAAGAGCAAAAAGACAGGCCCCATCGCGGTTCGAACGCGAGACCCTGCGATATTGGCACGTGATCGAGCCACGCTCATCGACTGCAATCGCATGCTCTACCACTGAGCTATAAGGCCTTGGACAGCAATGAGCCGGGCTGAGGTCACGACAAGCGCCCAGTCGCAAGAGCTGCCACTGGTCACTCCATGTCCTACTAGTACTACGTCCTACGGCTCCTCCTGAACCGTTTCCGTATCCAAGTCGACTGGATCAGGTTTAGCCGTTCTGTCCACGGTGAGCAGCTCAGCAGTTTTTCTTTGACAATGACTAGAGGAGCAAAACCGGAACAGGGAACGACTCCGAGAGCGCATCCGACGGTCATACTTATTCTGACACGTCCCATCGTCCTAAAGTGGAACACCAATGCCACTTCACTGGCCTCTCTTGTGATTCTGAAGAATATGGAACGTTCTGCAGTGTCCAGGGTAACCTCGACGACAAAAGTTAGTCTCGCAGTATTTGCTTTGGCTCGCTATTTTGATATCACTCGGATCCCCATCCAAGCCCCTCTGCCCCGCAAAATACTTTCCACGCGTCCTCGCATCCTCGGAGTCTGTGCTCCTGATCGGAATTCAGCTGTTTGTAGCTCACAGAGTGGTGCATTACTAATGTTCACTCGATTCTGTCTCGTAGCGCACGCCAAGAGTAAGTGCACGTCAGTGCTTCGTTCTATCGAAATTAACTTTTACGGTCCGAGTGCGTCCATTTGTTCTCTGCCATAAGTATTTGCGTCGTGTATTGTCATCCAGAGTAAGTACCTGGGTTCGCGTGAAGTTGTGTTTTCTCGCAGCAATAGCCAGATTCACGCTTCTTCCAAGCAGCACTGCAGCAGCACCCCCACCGATCATGCAACCGATCTCTGCGATCGCTGTTATTGCGGTCCGCTTTTCTCACGGCCGTTGTTTGGCCGCTAGCGGACCCACATTTCTTTCTCTCCACTCCCCTTCCGATTGAAGTCAATTTTCCACTTAACTACCTTTCCTTCAATCATTCCTCCACGTCCAAGGCTCTGCACGCATTGACTGCCCATGCTTGCCGTTGAAATCTATCATTCTCTTGCCTGTCAGTATCAGGACGTTCCGGGCTGCTGCATTAATTACATGCCTCAATCGACACCTTCCCTTTTTAAAGGTTGCAACTGCCTCCGCCTCAAACCTCGCCTCAAACCCAGCATATTGCAATGCTCCGATGGCCCATCTCATTCATTTACCGCTATCAGTGCTCCTGATACACATTTGAATACCCCGCCCTGAACATTGCTTGTAATTTTAGACAGTAATGGCCCGCTAGCATCTCGATCTGCTGCTATGTCATCCACTTGTCCAATACCTGAGAGCGATATCAGGTCATCGCCACACGTCCCGCGAATGAACCGATCGAGAGGAACTTTCGCGCGTCGAGTGGTACGTCTTGGGTTTGCCAAGTGTGTCGCGCATGCATAACACACACTTCATCAATTTGTTGGAGTGCTCTGGGGGAAGATTCAATGGATTATAGCAACAGCAAAGTCCTTGAGGGTAGAGTATAAGAAGATAAATAGACCAGCGATACAGACAGTTGTAGGCCTTTACGAAGCCTCTACGACTTGAGCATCCAGGCAGCATCGTCGTCATCGCATAATGATTATCCGCTGCCATACGCCGCTTTGGCGGGTGGTGCCATGAAAGGATGTGCTTCAGTGTTGAAAACCCCTGCCACGCGTGGTCGGTCATTGCATGATCACATGGAACTTCGTTCTGAGGGAACTTACATTCATCCAAGCTGATGTGACACGGATCGTCGAAAGTAAGGTACCTGCATGCAAACATCACATCAGTCTTTACAGCAGCACATAACCGATAGGACTCACAAGTATTTCAACGTTTCGGCAAACCAGAAACTCTCCATATCATCGATGAACCCAGAATCCGCCTTGTTTACGTTCCAGATCCCCGCGAACCCAGCAGGGGCCTTCAACCACTTGTTGAAGCTGTTGACGGCCGACGCAGCGCGGTCGAGGTACTTGGTGTCGCCCGTCACGCGCCACGCGTAGAAGTTGGACTCGAGGACTTCGGGGCGCATAAGGTAGTACTCGGAACCGGGGTAGAGGAAGAAGCCGTGTTGGGCGTAGAAGGCGAGGTCGTTGGACGTGGGCGTCGCGCCTGTGAAGTTGCCGTCGGAGGAGAAGAAGCCAAAGGCTTCCATGCCGATTCCGGTCCTGGACAGACGGAGTTGGAGTCAGTATCGCATGGAGGTGATGAAACCGAGGACAGGAGCGAAGAACGTACAGAGTACTCTCGTATGTGTTCCAGCAGGCGTCGGCGAGCTTGAGAGCAAAGTCAACGATGGTCTGGTTGTTCATCATCTTGCCACCCATCAGCCAGTTTCCAGCGTGGAAGCAAGCCAGATGGGAGCTGATGTGTCGAATGGTCCCATCGTCTTGCTGGTCGGCCAAGTACAGGTGGTTTCCTACCGTGGATGTCTGGGAACGAGCCAAGCATTAGTACAAGTGGATTCAGCAGAGGAAGGGGTGCTTACGCGGGCAAGGACACGCATGGATGTATCCACCGCAGTGGCCCAGGTGTCTGCGAAGACATTGTCGTTGATGTTGGATAGACGGGGATACTTGATTAAATACTCGAAGTAGCTATCGGAGCCTCCGCCCCAAGTCTATATCATGTCGTTTGCTATCTTATTTGAGAATACACTGAATGTGACGTACCACGTATGCGCCGACGAAGTTACCAGTATTAGGATCCAGACCTTGTGCCGCAAGGCCGGGCAAGGGAGGAGGCTAGAACACACTTCAGGGCCATGAGACAATTGTAACTCGAGACAAATTGCGTACCAGACCGATAATGTGCCTCACAGAATCCTCGGCGAGTCTGCGATATGTATCGTTGCCGGTGTATTTTCTATGCTTACGTATTAGTAAAACAAAGGACCCCCGCGTTACTGCCCACGCACGAAAGTGTAGACCATTCAAGTGTGAGCTACAGATCATCGGTGTGCTCAGCAACCAATGGTGGTTGCACAAATAAGTACACATACCGTGCCTGCTTCCGCTATGTTGGACTGTATCAGCGGTTAGCTTGAGCGCAACATCACTCGAGAAAAACTGGAAGATTCACCGTTTTGTTCACAGGCTGATTCGAGTTGAAATCGACAAACCCATATGGAATGACATTGCCCAACGACCACGCGTGAGACATCTTGTCTGCAACCTCCTGGGCTTTCTGAACCAGGACGGGATGCTTCTGTCCGCTGAGCTCGAATGCGCTCAGCAATCCGCCGAGATACCTTATACTAGTCTCGAAGACACTGTGCGATCCACTTTAGCAGGCACATTGGCTATGGATATCTTGAACCACGTCACCTTGCGTTATCTGAGGTATGGGAAATACTGAAGTCGATCTTTGAAGCAAAGTTGACGGCTTCTTCAAAGAGATCCTAATTGCGATGATGAGTACGGTCCAAAACACAGATGAAGAGGTGAAAAGATCTCACATCTTGTCCCATGATAGACTGAAGAGCGCATTGTCAGTGACGGCAGCATCGGTCCCCAGCCCTGCGACACGTACCATGGTAGTCATCGCATCGACGATAGATGCCCCCCAGCCATTCCGACTATTTGTGAACGTCTTAGAGACAGGCTCCAGGTCATCATGACCGAACGCGAATTGCCTAATGAAAATCAGTCGTCGTTAAGCTTCCAATAATACAATAATACACGGACGTACTTGTACGCTGAGTAGCTGTCCAGGAAAATCTTCTCGACAGCCTGCTTCTGATCAGCGGCGTCGCTGGGAAGAACCAAATGAGAATTCTGTATGAGGCCCGCAAAAACACCACCGACGCCCAAGCAAGCAAGGAAAGCCAGCTGACGAAACAGCATTAAGGAAAGATTGAAAGCGTAGGATAGACAAAGTAGGGAGGAAAATTGGGCAGTATGAGACCTTGTTGACCCTGCTATAAATCCTATCTAGGGTCTGTTTCTGCGTTGCGACCGTCTGTCGGTGCGTTCGTTCTACTGAAGTGCCTGGTTGGCGTAAAACATAGACATGAAAACATGGAACAAGCTGGGACTGCACCGAGATCTGTTTCATGCGACAGTGCATCTGAAAATCCAGGCTACTTACCCGCAGTCTGTAGACCCTCCATACAAGCTTGGCAGATTCTGTGCGTGGACTCTCAGGCTTTAGGAACTGTTCACCTTTTCGAGTTAATGCGCGAAGGTTTCGCTTCGACAAGCTTCTTACGACCTCCCGTCGATCAGTCGCGTTGCATCCTGAGTGGCGTCTGCGGAACAAAGATCAGTACAGTGGGAATACCACGAACTCAAAGACTTGCCTTCACTTCGTTGCGTACAAACGCCTTTGTGCTTTGCAGGTGTGATCCCAACCCGTTCAGCCGGTGGCGGTGCACCGAATGCTGTCCCGGGAGCTCACGTCGTTGCGATAGGCTCCGAGCAATATTGAAACGGCGGGGCGCAATCACATTTTGTGGGTGGTTGACGGGGAATTCAATGATGAGTAAGTACGGGATCCGGACGCCGCAGCTACTTCAGGCTAGTATTTCAGGTATCATCGCGATACTGGTACGCCCTCCGAACAGGGTGCACAAACATGCCAAGCTCGTTGTCATCTCTTGCATAAGAACATCGTACGCGTGTATGCTATGTTGCCAGAGTCGGTGCATGTGGTCTTGTGAACGAGAGGTCAATAAATCCCTGCGCCACGTTGAATGCGAGTGGAAAGACTCACAAATAGGCGAACGATGTGCATAGTTTTCAAAGGTAAGTCTTGGTGAAAAATCAGACTAATTGACGGATGCTCAGATGGCATTATAGAAACTATACACCGATACTCAGTCACTTTGCGGCAGGTGAAGTCCGTAGAGAGGATGCATACCTCAGAGCTAGCTAGAGCAGCGCCCTTAAGTAGAAGAAGACAGAATTTCCCCGCGACGTGCTCGATGAAGTCACAGTCGCTGGTCTTGCGGGTGCCCTAATATCGCCCAGACAGCCGTCTTGATAGACTCGTGATACCGATATCAGTCGGATAATCCATAGGGACGAAGAACAACGGGACGACAACGA